TATACCTAGTACTCCAAATACTAAAAAGTAATTGAAATACATTTTCCAAGTAATTTACTTGAAGTACTGACAGCTCTGATTCAAGCAAAAAAAAAGTTCAAAGATAAATATGCAGTTCTCGAGATCATTACACTTTTCAAAATTCTGTGAAAAATACAGCGTGTTTGAGGTTTGACTGCAGAAATTTTAACACGTGAAAATATGGCACATTTTGAAAAGTTCATACATGAGGTCCAAACTCAACCATTTTTAAGAAAAAGGCCTTTGAAGTTTTGACAATTTTTGATAAATATTTGAAAGATAAATAATAGTTATTTGCGCAACCAGTTGGGAAAAGCACTATTTTTCGCAACGAACTGATTTCCGCAAAAGGAAGCGAATTATGAAAAATAGTGTTTCCGAACGAGTTTCACACAATATTTTTTCTAATTTTGACCTGATGTGATCCTTTTTAATTCAAGTTGAAAATATAAAAAACGTTCTTCAAATAAGTATGTCTAATCGTCAAGCGTCAGGTGAGTTCAGAGATGTTTATTTGTTATTTCGTTTTTCGTTGCTATATGTAGAAGCAATAGTGTCAAGCATAAAGGTGTCAAGTCTGCGTCTCTAATTTTCGAAAAAGGGAAAAATAATAATTGATATTTTTCTTATATAAACCACTCAAACTTTATATAGTAAAAAAATAACTATTATTAAATTCTAATGCCCAATTCCGGAAGCGACGTAGGTACCGAGGGATATTGAGGAATCGGCTCAATCTGCTTTATCTACAATAATTATTCCTAAGAAGTCAAAGAGCAAATATGATTTGGCCCTATGTCAAATTTAGTTCATGGTGTGACCAAATTGAATTTTCATATGTACCTACAAAGAATATAATAACAATACTTCAAGTAGTTTAGCATTGAAATTATCACAAATTTAATTTCTGTATTTTTCGCAACTAATGGTGAAATTTACTTTTCATCACCAGTTGCGAAAAATTTTACTTCTCGCAACTAGTGATGAAAAGTAAGACATTTGATAACGTCAACGAGTTTTGAAAAGTGTCAAAATTAAAAAAAAAACATGATATCTAAAAAACATTTATTTAATTTAATTAATAGGTGATTATGCAATTTTAGTCAAAAATAATATTCAAAATTTGAAAAAATAACAATGTTACTCGTTATTCGGTTTCTAAACATCTGGCCAAATAGCACAAAACTTGTTTACGGAGAATCGTTACAAAATGCTCATTTAACCGCCAGAAATTACAGGGATAAATTTCCTAATAGGACAGCACCTAATGAAAAAACATTGTGCCCGTTTTGGAAAGAATGCGTGATACGGGACGTGTTGCTACTAATTTAGAGTAGAAGCGGCAACACCGCATGGTCAAAAATATTTTTAAAGTGTAGATCATGGTCGTTTATCCCGGTTGCCAAATTTTCAAAATGATCCGCTTTTTAGTTCTCCATAAACGTCTAATACGCCATCCACCGTGGGACACCCTGTATATTCACTGGACTAATAACGAAAACAGGCGGGAATAAATTCCTTGCAAAAAAAAAATCCTTTTTTTTTTAAATTCACCTATGGTTTGCTTACCTCAGATTTTACAGAGAATAAATATCTGAATAATGTTGTTAACATTTTACCAAATTTAAATTCTGCGATAACTCCGAGAATACTAAGAATTGACCCATGGTTAATAGGACAGTTTTAGCTTGAAATGGGCCATATTATCATCATGTGTTAAAACATTTGTACTCAAACATGATACACCCTGTAGGAAGTAGGTATTTTCTTATAGTCACTATAGGTAGATTTAATTCAAATGGGAAAATGAAGCTGAGGTTTGGTACACGTAGAACAAAAACCATGAAAAATAAATAGGGATAGTGGTATAGATAAATCTAACCTAAGGAATTGCAGGAAATTCAATTCAGCAGAAAACAATTAGTTGAATTTTATGTTTGTTTACTATGTATTAATTTATTCGACCTTGTTTTTTCCTTTTTCCAGCCTTAAAATAAGCCCTACGAAAAAGTTCTACACAAAACACAAGATACGTTTTCAGATATTGGATAGCGCGATATTAATATCTTGAGAACTGCATTTTTCTCCTTTACCTATTATCTAATGGTTAATATTATAGTCATTAAATAACCAATGATAAGATAAGTATGTCCCTAGTCCATTATCTATATATATAAAAATCAAAGTTCACGGGGTATCCAGATATGCGCTCCAAAACCACTTATCCGATTACGGTGAAACTTTGGTAGGTTGTTATGGCCATCCCAAGGAAGGTTTGTGGATAGGTTACGCATCTCGGAAAAAGAAATTAATTTTGAATTAATTATTAATTTAATTGTAAACAAACTCCTTCACATTACATAACAACATAACCCAACTTTTTTTGACAGCATGAAATAACGTTGCTATATTTCATTTATTTAGGCTTGCATTCAACCGACGTAATTTTATTATTTTTTAAATTCAAGAACGGCTGGACCGATCTTGAATTAATACCACGTATCTCTATATAAGGTGAATTCGATTGACCCAGATTAGATCGATTTGGGTTCAATTTAAGTGAACTTCTTCTGATCTAGATCATTTTTTTGTTGATGAGGGTGCACTTGAATCGAACACAGTGTGGTTCATTTAAATTGAACCAGATCGATCTAATCCGGTCAATCGAATCGACTTGAGAGGAGAGTGATATAGGCTATTTTTTATCCCGAAAAAAAAAAGTTTGGTTACGTAAAACTCTGATACACTGGAACGCCTATAAACAGCCCGGGGCGCTCTAGAGCAGCTCTGGAGTGCTTAAAATGCGTCACTGGACTCACTGGCAAGCGACTCTGATATCGGATTAAAAAAAAAAATTAAATAGAAAATCAACAACAAAATTTGACAAGAAGTGTATTATTTCAAAATGTATTTACACGCTGGCAACGCAGCGGGTCATTAGCTAGTTGTAAATAAAAATTGTTATGATTGAGAGTAGGTGAGTAGGTAAATACCATTTATTAGGACTTTCTGTTTCTTGTTTGTAGATATTGTACATTGTAGACAACTTAAACAAATTAGAGAATAAGTCAAACAGTTTAAATGATGACCAGAAAAAAGTCAGATTAATCCTTAAAGTACATACCTACCTTATAAGCTCATTTGTAAAATTCACCCATCAATCATTCTATTTTCACACAAAAATTTCAACTTATGATGCCACAATTTTGCGATTATACAATTTTTTCATATAATCAAAGTGTAATAAACCTTCTCCAACGAATTTTCAACATAACAAAAATATCCCTATAAAATTTCTAGAGTTTAATTTACTGTATTCTTGGACAATTATTATTTTTTGTATCATATTTTCTTCGGCTTACAAGCCGTTATGGAATGATTGAAATAAAGAGGTGTTTTTATCTTATGTGATTAGATACCTACACAATTTTATGCTCAACTTTCCGTCGTTTTTCCGATCTTCCAAACAAGAAAAGCACGTAGAAAATATCACCTTATCCCTTATCCTAAATTGTTTATCCAGATGTCATACATAAAAATTAAATTATATGTAGATACATTCGGCCAAAACTCATGTGAGTTGTGCCATTCTATTATGTAAAGATCCAAAGTGAACGGGTGCAGACTACCTTACCTGGGTATATCTAGATCAAAATTTTAGAAACACAACATCTGCTCCAATACTTAAGTTTAAAGTGATACATTGTAATATACTGTTCCTATTTCCTGCTTCAGGTCGGAAAGCGGTTCCAAATATTAAAAATTAAATTACGTAAAATTTTTACCAATACATACTACTTATTATAAACAATTAAACAACAAAATAGGTATTATATTCTAATTTTTGTAAAATATTGTCATATTTTAAATTTTTATTGTCACCAATAACACAATAAAATTACATGTAAAAGCATCTAATAAACCATTAGCAATAGCAATAATTTTACCAACAAATGCTTAATGTATACATAAAAAATGTCCCTAAAAGTTATTGTACAATGTGTATTTAATTTATTGTCCAACTTATTGTCGAATTTATTGTCGATTAGGTACACATTTATTATCATTCACAAATTGCGAAAGTGAGGGCCTTATTTACTAATTATATATTGCATTACATATTAGATTATTGTCATCTCTAGATGCATTTATTTTACACAATGGTGCTACAATACTTTTTTATATGTATATATATATATTTTGGTAATTCGTGTCACGATAAGGATATAATATTAAAATAATATAATACATTTTTAGATTTATACAGTGTGCTTCTAAGATCACTTTCATTTATAAAGCCTCAAGTAGAATTGAACTAAATAATTTTCACATTTTATTACATTTATTGTAGTTTCCATTGTATTATTTGTCAATAATAAAAATTACTCCCATAGCAATTAACAGAGAAATTTTCGAGAGATAAGAGAGAAGCACTGTATAAGATAATAATGATTCAATGAAAATAAAAAATTATTGCACCAATGCATTAGATTAGACGAGGCCTTTATAGTACCTACTTACCTAGGAATTTATTGACAAGATGCCAATCCTTATCTTACTTTCAACCATTAAAATGGTAAGACTTTCAGACAACTTCAGAAACAAACATAAGCTATTTTTTAATTGATTTTAGAAAGTTGCTTGCTTGCTGCTGAAATCGCTTAATCTTTTGGTGGTATTTTATTGACAAATTATATACAGAGAATAATATACTCAAAATATTATTAGAATAGTACATAGGCATATACATTATAGGTATATTAAATAATAATATGTTTTCAACTATTCATCGTTAATAAATTCAATAAGAATGAAAAAGAAAAGGAAACCAAAGTTTTCCTTATTGGGACTAAAAAAATAAAAATAAAAATACTTTTCTAAAAATATCAGCAAATTAATTTACAAATATTTTAATATGAATTACCTACCTATGTATGTATTTCCGTAATAATATTTAGACATTAGGTATAACGATAAAGTAGGTATGTTACCACCGAATTAAGTAGGTAATATGTAACATTATCTAAAAATCGATAAAATTTAAGTACAAAAATTGACATTTTTATTACAAAAGGTTAAAAGACACAATCTTAATTCTATTATTTAAGAAATATTTTATTTTTATTTTATTGATGTGATATGTAACGATATCAAAAAAAATATATATAAAAAAAATTATTTCCTCTACTAAGAAATTAGAACAAGTTTTTGAAATATACGAAGAATATTTTTCAATTGATAAATAATTAACTATTTGACATCAAAAATATATCTGTTTGGCTATTGGGTTACCTAGATATCAATTATTATCAAGGGTGTTATGTAACTATTTCCGACGTCAACTTGTAGCAATCGGTATTACTCTAATCATTTAAAAATTAGGTAATCCTCATCCGCCTGAATCAAATTATAAGACTGTAAAATTAAGCAACACTGCGAATAAAAAAGCTTCATGATATCAAGCCAATATCAATAATTAGGTACCGGCATAAAAATTGGTTACAATTCTAAAGGCCTTATTTAGACAGAAGCGACTACGCCAGAAAACAAAAAATCCCAGGAATGAAATGACTTCAGTGTCATGTAAAACGATTTCACAACTCTCACCTCGTATTTTTGGAGTTTTAAACTCACACACGACCACAATATTTATCGTTATTTTTGCTGGTATAAAATCTGTCTATAATCTAATTTTTATTGAAAAGGAAATATCTGGAACGTTAGGTATGTAATGTTGAAGTTCGGCCAATCAATAAAACATATCAAGGTGTCAACTGGCACAATATGCTTCAATATCCAAGGAAACGTTAATATTATCTGTTAAGAAAAAAATCACAGAATTGAAATTTGATGTCAAATCATGCAATATGTAGGTACCAATTTTTGTTATGCCTAAACAAAATTTTGTTCATCCTCCTCTCATAAAAAGGACTAATCAAATAAATTACATATTGTGCGCATTATAGAATAACAAACACTTTTTTCATCAGCTTTTCTTAATAATAAACATCCTTATTGTAAGTAAAAATTATTGTAAAATTTACAAAATATTTTATTGTCGCCTATGTAGTATTGTCTGAATTATTGTCGCCAAACTAATCAATGAAATGCCTATGGGTAAGGATTTGCCGGTGGCCTTATTGGCAGTTCTTCCATTTTGTTCTGATATGTAACCGGGATCAACGATATGGATTTTCCAACCTAGGTTGCTGTGTATGAAGCACTAGAAATTACAACATTTATATGGGTATGATACACTTTTTTTTTCTTCATAAATGTAAAAAACTACATTGAATATCAATAAGGATTTGATGCTTGAAAAATAGCTTGCCACACAAAATAACTTCACTGCATCGTTTAGGAGACCCTAATTATTATACAATGATAATATTATCTAGCTTTTAATGAAGCTAACTTATTGGTATTAATTAAAGTGCTAAAGAACCGTAGCACATTGTGATAACTCTTGCGGCCCGCTAAACTCCAACTTGCAATTACCATATCTTTGATGTTGTGCAAACATCCCATCAGGTACATACTGATATCGACAATCAACACGTGTTCGCAGCAAACTTCACGTGTGTGTAACCGCCTTTAAGGTATGGTTTCGCTTGTGCGTCTCGCGGCTGCATCCAGACGCAACCGCCGCCGCGCCGGCCGGCCGTAACTGTCCACGAAATAAGAATTACCTTTAACCGTTTCTACTTGTGCATCTCAGCCATGCAGCCCGACGTCCGGCAGCATGCGTCTGTCGATCTAGTGAGACGTGTCTCAGTTCGGCCGCAGTCCTGCTAAAGAGAAAAGCTCTGAAGTTCTTTTCATACTCATTTAGATGATTTCTTATTAAGATTTTGTAGTGGGCTTCTATGGATCGTTTTTTAAAGACATCTTGAGTTTTCTGACGTTTCTTCTTCAATGATTTTAAAGATTCTGCTTCTTACCCTTCCTCTTCCGACGAAATAACAGCAAATAAAGTTTATTCATCTCTTTACACGTCGATATATAAATGAAAACACTCAACCGCACAGGCGAAACCATACCCTTACACAGAAGAACAAAATCACAAAAAAAAATATGTTCAAAAAACTATCGCTTAGTAATGATGAATAATATAGCTGATGTCAAAAAATATATTTTGTGGCGAAGCGTTAAACCGCTAAAGTAGATATTAAATAAACGCAAAATCGCAGTCCTACCTGATAATATAAAAGATCGGGAGCATCCATTGGTACTGTCCAATTAAGATAGGCTGGTTCACCTTCATCGCATTCTAGCCTCAAAGTTTTCATAAAGTCCTCGAAAGTGTCAGATTCTGCAGATTTATCTATGCTCTTATGCGTCCACTCGCAGTACCTTCCTGTGGTCATAGGATAAGCTTTTCCGTCAGCACCGTACCCAACTCCTGCGTAAATTTGCTGTTTTCTTTGTTTATCTTTGGATAGTTGTGCGTAAGCACCTTCGTTCGAATCAGTTATGTATATCGGGTGGAACCTATGTGGGAAAAATAAACTATTGAAATCAATACTACAGATTAATCCACGCCAGATTCGGAAGCTTGCCAAAGAGTCTATTTGATGCACCAATAAATTTGCGAAACACAATGAAATATTAAGTTACGAGCCGTGTGAAACCTAAATCTTTGATAGGCTCTGTAGTCCATCATAGATGTTGTTTCACAGTCACGTCTATTGTAAAACAAAACTAGAAGTTCGAAGGCAAATGCGAGCATTAAAGAACCAATGGTATATAACAAAATCAAACGAAATGCAGCAACTCGCTGAATCCAACAGCACCAGGGCCTTCTTCCAGGTTTCTAAGATGGTGCACGGACCATCCACTCAAAGACTCAATTCTCGTTATAAGGGGCACTTTCAGGAACTACTTAACAGAGAATCGCAAATTAATAATGACATCTTCAACGAAATTCCACAGAAACCAATAGGTACAACAAGAACTGAGCGAGGTTCCCAGATTAGAGGAGGTTGGAAAAGTAATCAGCCAACTAGTAAAGTCAGCTGGTACCGACAGCATTCCTGCTGAATTCTTTAAACAAGAAGCCCCCACACTAAGTGCCCAAACCTACATCCTAATAAGTAAAATATGGATTACTGAGACCATACCTGCCGAACTTAGAGATGCCTCCATAACTGCCATTTTTGGAAAGGGATACAAGGCTCAATGTAGAAACTACAGAGGAATATCTTTACTTTCTGCTGCGAGAAACATACTTGCTAGGAAATTATCAAATCGTCTAATCTCAGCTGCCGAACAGAACCTTCCACAGACACAGCGTCGCTTCAGACCCAACAGAGGTACAGCTGACATGATTTTCAGTGTAAGACAAATGCAAGAGAAATCCAGAGAACAATATCGCCCTCTATACATGACCTTCATAGACTTAATAAAAGCATTTCATTCGGTCAACAGAGAAGATATTGGTTGGCAAACGTTGGGTGTCCGCAATAGTAAATCCAGATACTCCGCCTGCTGGATAATATGAATGCAACAGTCCTAAGCAATGATGGACAAAGAGAGTCTTTTCAAATAACTACAGGCAGTGCACAGGGCTGTATTATTGAGGGTCACCTGTCGGCAAGAGTGAAAATCCTGTACAGACTTGACTACTTGACGGCGGCTTATTCAACCTAAACAGATTACGAGCCAAAACGAAAGTATCGACCACATCTACATCGTGTATGATGTTAATCATTATAAGGAGACTAATTAGCTGGGAGCCTATATTGTACATTCAGTTGACAAGACCCTAATGACAATACTGCTAAAACTGACAAAAACCATCTAACTTCCTAAATACCTTCATAGGTATGGAACTATACCTAACTAACCATCTCCCCTTATAAATAGAGAGACCTTATGTTTTATTTTCAACAATTCGACCATTCAGGAGGCTTAGACAACATATCCATTAGAGCACCACAAGCGGCACTTTTTCCACCTCTAAACGGAAAAACTAGTTGGATTTTAGCCCCATATCCTATTTACCTGACACCGTGTATAATGTTAATCACAATCAGGAGAAAATACTTGATAAGGTGGGAGCGTATATTGTACCTACACTCAGAAGTCAGAATTGAAAAGCCCTTAATGGCAATACTGCTAAAAATGACGATAACCAGCTATAACTTTCTACTAAATACCTTCATAGGTATGAAACTAAACCTAACTAACTATATATTGAACATCGATAAACGAACTTCAATATGCGGATGATAAAGTCATGATGGCCAATACAGAAGAAGATCTTCAAGCAATTATCAATTCATTCAACCAGGTATGGAGGAGAATCGGCCTAGAGGTCAAATTTAACAAGAGGCAGATTCTGCACCAACCAACCTGGATACGTCCCCATGCCTCAAATATAACTATAAATGACTATTCTTTGTAGAACGTAACACTACCTATCGCTTGGCGACCGTCAGCGAATGCAACCATTGACGCTGAAATCCAACATCGCTTGAAATGTGCTAGCGCGGCGTTCGGGTGACTTCAAGAGAGAGTCTTCAACAATCAGGATATCAGCTCTGAGACCAAACTTCTCGTCTACAATGCAGTTGTAATTCCAACATTTGGCTGCGAAACATGGACCACTTACAGAAGACACATAAAAATCCTAGAAAAATACCACCAGCGATGTCCATGAAGGATTCTATGGATTTAATGGCAAGACCGAGGAACGAAAATTAGTGTTTTAGAGGCGACCAAAACAACTAACATAGAACTTCATCATTAAGCACTACGACAGTCAACTGAGAGAGAAAAATCGATACCAGCAACTGGGAAACAACGGCAAATCAAATGATATGCCCTCATGGCCGTCGAGTATTCCACGACGGACTACAAACTTCTGAAGAACAGCGACGCAGACACGAGACCGAAAAGTGGGACCGTATGAAGGACCGAATGAGAGAACAGAGGAAGAGACAATGCTGCCAGAGGCTTGGTGTGCCAAGACGGTGGAAGAGTGTGCGGCTCTAGATTTGGTTTATAAAGCCATCAGAAAAAGCACAATCGACGCCATTAAGAATATAATAGAAGATAATCATACTCGGTATCGACTACCTAATTGCCTATGATGATGATGTGACAATATATTATCATCTACACCCCAGTAAATGGCATAATAAGGTAAGTATAGGATATAACAAAGTAAAGAGCCCATAGCAATGCCAGTTTTGAAGCTAAAGTCTTGGCATCGCAATACGAGCGATTCGGATAGTATCCCTAGAGATTATAGATATCAGAGAAGAGGTATCTAGAGCCAAATGTTATGCCAGGGAAAAATTAGACGTTTACTGAAAATTCTGATATGAATAAATGTCAGGTCGAAAGTCTACGAACATTAGACATTATATGAAATGTCAACTTGCTTCTGCCTCTTCATGAACACATACCAAGGCTAGGGTCCGAATATAACCAAACGTTAACCAAATTTACCGAATCGGTTGATAGATGGTTACTGAAAATTCTGGTTACTTGGGGAACGGGAATATGAAATAAAAAGTAATTGACAGAACCAGGTTTCAGGAAACCGAGTTCCAAAAGTAACCACTTTTTCAGGAACCAGTGTATTTTGATTACTTCCGGACCGTGAAACCATAACCCTGGTTATATTCGGACCACAGCCTAAATAACGCTAAATGCCTGACTTTATTTAGCTTTTCATGTAAGGCTCCGAATGCACTTGATCTGATGAAGTCAGTAAGAGTATCCGGAAAACGGCGACTCTGAGTTTTATAATTATAGTTTGCTTTTTACTACATAAAGGTATGCATATTGTTAAAACGCGGCGACAAAATTCAAATTCTCACGACAAATGGGTATTTTCATAGGAGCAAGTAAAATTTTCCGGATCAACACCGGTAGCGAGTTCGTAAATAAGGTTATACTTGAACTAAAATATGACTATGAAGAGCTTGTGAAAATTATAATTGAAGAAAAATATTCAGTTGCCAGAAAAATACTTGTCCAAAAATTTCTTCGTCGAAGGGAAAAAAAAATTTGCTTCTTCATATTGTTTACACATTGTTGAAATTTGTGAGGAAGGACATTCATTGATGTACAAGTGAAACATACTGAAGAAGAAGCCTAGAAACAGCAATTCGACGAAAAAAATTCCCGGCTCTGTAGGCAATTGCTCTCTATTAAAAAGTCAGAGACTGACCATGACTAGGTACGTTTCCATAGGGGTTCACACGTTTCACTGTCTGGTAGCGTTTTATGAAATGGCCAGAACTATCCAAAGCTGCGAGTGTAGAAGAACCACAGATTATAGATAGTATTGCCATCCAAGGCATTCTACCAACAAGCGCCGCCCTGAATGAATTCGTACCTACAGGTAATAAATTCAACTTCGGCCTCTGGGATCTCTCTATACAATAGAATTAAGTATATTAAAAATACCTGGCGGGATTAGATGATGATTCTCCTGCTTCCACCACAAAAGTATACGTCTGTCCTCTCTCAACAGTTAATTCAGGAATTAATTTGTCATTAATATAGTAGCAAATGCCCCATGACGGCATACCGGTTATTTTTGGGTAACCTTTATTGCCCCCTGTTGGTCCGATTTTCACGTAAAATGTATTATCGCCTACCAAAAAAGATGAGAATAAAGTTTTATTGATTAATACGTTATAGATAATGACATATACCAATTATTTTCGATTGGGGCCAAGCCAAAACACCATCTTCCGGCATATTATCCAAACTCAACGTACACTGATGATCGTTCATATCGCTAAAATTAATTTGGACATCGGTGTCCAATCTGTCTTTGTATGTGTGAGCGTTGGCTTCCTTCCGAGAATTTAGCGGACCAAAAGCTGCAATTATACTTACTGGTTCGTTGTCAGGAATTGGTCGATCGTTTATTGCCTCGTTAGTATGGAGAGGCCTGAAAATGAAATAGTTTCTGCTGGATTTTTTCAATTACCTAGGTTTTATTGGTTGATAAATCATATTTGAAACCTGCAGAAAATATTGAAAAAATGGCTTCACATATTTGAGAGTACTTATATGTTTAAGTTATAATCGAATATACAGGGTGTCGCAAAAAGATACCGACAAACTTAAGAGGGTAGTAAGGGACATCAAAACAAGCATTTTTGTTTATATAAACATATGTCCGCAAATGAGCCATTCGGGCTGTAGAGCAGAAAATTTGTTTGGTACTTTTATTATTCGCAATAATTAAATCACTGTTTACTCATATTAATTTTGCTTTAATAACAAATAAATTATGGTTTATAATAATTGTTCAAAATGTTGACCATTTACTTCAATGCAAAGATTGCACCGTCGGGTCATTGACTCGCGAACCCTTTGGAATATTCCGGGAATAGCTTCTACATGGGTACACCTCGCCAGTATCCTTGCTAACAGATCTTCCTCATTACGAACAGGTGTTTCGTAGACTAAACTTTTCAGTCAATGACCCGACGGTGCAATATTTGCATTGAAGTACCTAAATGGTCAACATTTTGAACAATTATTGTAAACCATAATTTATTTGTTAATAAAGCAAAATTATTAAGTAAACAGTGTTTTAATTATTACGAAGAATAAAATTACCAAACAGTTTTTTTGCTCTACAGCCCAAATGGCTCATTTGCGGACAAATGTTTATATTAACAAAAATGCTTGTTTTGATGTCCCTTACTACCCCTTAAAGTTTGTCGGCATCTTTTTCGGACACCTTGTATACAGTGTACAGTTCGCGTTTCCTTCGAAGAGGCGCATTAAAAACTCTATATACCTACATGGTTGTCGTTAATCATAAAAACGGTCTCATATTTCGCCAACGCCTTGAAAAAAAAAGAAATTAGGGAGGTTATTCGTGATGCTTTACCGTTTATGTGATATTGAAAGTAGCTTTACATCTTCGAGTGCAACCCCCTGTTAATTGATATTCCAATCTATTCAGCGTCTCAAACAAAGTCCATCATTTTTTCTCACGCAGTTCTCAAAATAAGTGTATATTTCTAAACTTCTGCCTAAAAAAGCAGTGTTGCCATATTTGATTCCGTGCAAAAAAAAAAAAACTGTAGTCCAGCGGAAACGGTTAACTGGCAAATGTCTAGTGATTCCGACCGTTTTCATTCCTATCGACAGCCAGTATATATAGAAAGTTCACCTATTTAGTGATTGATTCAACTTACTTGCTGTATTTAATCGTAGTTATACCGTTATGCCTCTCGCCATGAAGCACGGTAACATCGTTTCGACCCCCTATTCGCTCATCAGGACACACGCCTGATTTTCCGTCACATTGTGAAGCATGCGATATGTAATAATCTTCAGCTCGGAAAGACCTTTCATCTTTATCAAAGTAAGCTATTGTGACGTCAGCTCCGATCTATTTATTTTCAAGTATTTTGTTATATACATTTAAGAATTAATGTTTTTACTCACCATTTGTGCCTTGTTGTTCCCACCCGATAATCCGAAAGCAATATACTTGTCCTCTGAAATTCTAGCAGATAAAGTGATCTCTACGTGATCGCCTTTCATGATCCATTTGACTTGCAAGCGTTTATCTAAAAATTCCCTGCAATTGGTGGGGGCGGGTTGGGCGGTAGTGGTGGTTGTCTTGAATAGGGAAGAGAAAGAATTGATCAAAATACAAAGGAGGTTAACGCCTAAATGGTAAACAATATACAAAGTTCACATTTACATGTAAGTATTTATTTAGTTGCATAAATATTACACATATTATATTATCATGTTTTAAAAACCTATGTCTAATGGAGTAGTTTCAATCGCAGTACTTACTGGATTGTACCACCATGGAGGCTGCAAGAAAAATATAAAATTTCATTAAAATTAATTTAAATTTATTTTAAAAACATGCCAAATAGAATGATGTTTCATTTATCAGGGTCCCAAGCATGGCGGTAGCAATTTTAAATTATTATTGAAGCTGGTTTAGTCGGTTTATTCAATATTCAATAGAATATTAAAATAAGTATAACTACGATTTGAGATATAAAATAATTTAAAATTTCACAAAGAAGTCACCTTGTGGTGTGGATCGTGGACGATAAAACCAATCAGCAAAGTGAATTTTAAGCATAGTAGAAATAGGCTGTATTTGATCCACTGAGTTGAAACGAGTTTTCGTATATTCAATAAACCGAATGAAATTATATTTATAAAAACGCATTAAAAACATTGGAGTACAAAGTGTATGTAGATGGAATATCAAAAATATCAATTATCAAACAGAACTCCAGTACAAAATTAATACTGGCTAGTTACGCATATAGGCAACTTATAATTTCCTGTAACTTACAGATATCTTAGTTTGACCCAACGCCGGTGGCACATCCAAATCTTTCGGTATCATCACGTGACCAAAATTATGTCGAAATTGTACGCACCAAACTGCTAACCAATCAATATCGTAGACTGTCAAAGTGCCAGGAAGTTGAATTTCTATGTCTTCCCCCAGGTAGCCACGCAAAGGTTCCAAGGAACCAAGTTCATTTGGTACCTGAAAAAATATACACATTTTATTAATTTTCAACAAACTAGCTATTTTGTTAATTTTTCAAACTCTATAGCAAGATCATTTTGTGAATTTGATATTTCAAAGTAGACATTCACCTACCTATAGGGGAGCGAAAATGATAATAACGTTTATTGTCAATTCGCTAACTTAAACTATTCTTTGAACTGTGGGCGTTTAGATAAGCATTTATTATAAAACATGTTTATAAATTAACCAGTTTTTCCACAAATGAATAATGGCTGAAAACATTTTTCATACCTTATAGCCAAAGGCCGTAGGTTCGGTCCCATTGCCGACCCAAAAGTAAGCATCTGGCCCAGCACCATCATAATGTAAATTTGGAATGTAGAATGTTTTGGCATCAAGAATACTGATGTTGTCGGAGCGCAAACCATGCGCTAAACGTTTGAATTCGGGTAGAACTCGCGGTTTTGGCACTTCGAGGTTTGGTGGAATGAATACCTCGCCGAAGTCCACCTGCAAAGAAAAATTAACACAATTTCAACCAAGAGTTAATGAGTCTTGTTTAATTACCCACTAAGCAAAAAACATCTTTGCGCATTTGGTAACGTTAATGTGTCAATAAAGAACAATGTGATTTGATTTGTGATATGTTATATAAAATAAAAAATTCACGTCATCGAAAGCAAATGGTTGATTTGTAGATTTAATCAAATTATACATCCTTGTTACGATGACTGGATTATGAATATCAAATAACTTATTCTTAAACAAAGAACCCCATAGATACCCTTGAAAAGGACCAGTATTTTCATTTATTTACAACCACATACGTAATGTTGACATTTCTTACTATTCAAAAGTTTGAAAGTGGCACTTTTTTGAATTTTACTTTCCACCCGGGTGGAAAGTGGTCCCGCGTGGAAAGTAAGTTCTCGTCTTCTAAAATGTTTAAGACGAGTCCTGCATGTCAAACGTTTTTTTAAATGAGTCAGAACTTGTCAATACATTTTTAATTTTTTTTTAGTATTCAGTCGAAATTATGAGGGTTGTAATTGTTGTAAATAAAATAGTATACAAACCTCGGTAGGAAGTTTCATTCCTGCCTCGAGATTATAGTTAACTTCGACGCTTCGCGTCTCAGTTAACTAACTAATCTCTCGACAGTAATGAAACACTTCCCACCTCGGTATGTAATATACTATTTCCGGTCGGTAAACAATAGCTATGGTAAGTAAAACATAGCTGACAAAAGAAAAAAATACAGTACTTAAGTTCAGATAAAAGAGGAGACAAAGAAGCAAGCAAGAGTAGGTACGAGATGAAATAGTTCAGAAAAAAAGGTCAGTTTGGAATGAAGCTGTATGCATATTACCACTTATCTGGGAGGTGCAAGAAACACAGAAAGTTGGAGAATACTGAAAAACATTGGAAAACCAAAAGCTAAAGATATTATTACCACAAGTATATCCAGACCAGATATTCCGCCTGATACATGATAATATGAATGCAACCGTCCTGAGCAACGATGAACGAGGAGAGTATTGTAAAATGACTACCAGGCGTTAAACAGTACTGAGTAATTGCACCCACTTTATTTTCTCTATTTGTAGGATCCATACTTCACTTTGTCGAGGCTCACCTGCCGTCAGGAGTGGTAATCCTGTACAGACTTGATGGCGGCATATTCAACTTAAACAGATTACGAGCCATGACGAGAGTATTTACAACATCGATAATTGAACTTCAATATGCGATTGATAACGTGATGGCCAATGCAGAGGAAGATCTTCAGGCAATTATCAATGCATTCGACTAGACATACAGGAGAATTGGCCAAGAGGTCAACTTGAACAAGGCGCAGATTCTGCACCAACCAGCACCGGAAACTAATCCCCAAATATAACTATAAATTGCCATTTTTTGCAGAACACTACCTATACCTTGGGAGCCATCTGTCAGCGAATGCAACCATTGACGTTGAAATCCAACATCGTTTGAAGTGTAGTTGTGTTCTAGAGAGAGTCTTCAACAAACACGACATCAGCGCTGAGGCTGAGACCAAACTTTGCGTCTACAATGCAGTTGTTATACTTACACTTACATGTGTGTGTGAAACAGAAGACACATAAAAGGGCCAGAAAAATACCACCAGCGATGCCTAAGAAGGATAATAATAATAATAATAATAATAATAATAATAATAATAATAATAATAATAATAATAATAATAATAATAATAATAATAATAATAATAATAATAATAATAATAATAATAATAATAATAATAATAATAATAATAATAATAATAATAATAATAATAATAATAAGTCGCGCTGTATCACAGAGATACATGTACTAAATCATTGATAAAAAAATTGAACCATCTGATGAATTTCGGTTTTACAATTTCTATGTATTTATTCGTGTACTCAACAATCACTTTTTACTGAAAAAGAGATTCCAGAAGTTGGATTCTGTTTTCGTAGTTGCAGTTTGGCCAACAACGCCCGGTAGCTTTACCATAATATTATGTGGTCTCTTCCGAGTCAGCTTGGGAGGAATTTTGTCTCATCAAGTTCCATCTTCACCTAAGATGAACAGCCTCTTGTACCATAATATTTATATGAAAAAAATACCAAGAAAATAGTTACAATTCAGAAGCACTGCTGGTAATAAGAAAAGTCGCGTTCTATCAGTCAGGCACAAAGCCGAGCAACCCCTAGTTTTTTGGAAATTCCAAATTTCCAAATAGAGGTACGACCATATAATTTTGGGAAAGTGATTAGTATAGGGTACCTAAGGACTCATACATGCCATAATATTATAGGGTTTTTCCTTTTTGATTTATTTGCAAAAATAATAGGCATGTATCTCTCAGATACACGCGCGACTAATGGAAGGATAATAATAATAATAATAATAATAATAATAACCCGTGGCTGAAGCTGAACTGCTATCGAAGGCCGCCCCTGGCGATGGGGACGCTCGTCAGCCTGAATAGACTGAAGGGTGCTGGGAAAATAAAATACCCAGGGTGAACAAAATCAGCAAAAACCCATGAATATGGAGAAAAACAAAGCCTCGGAAAATCGTAACGACGTAAACGAGAACAGTGTGCTTGCACCAGAGCTCGCGTCCGGCAGGAGGTTTGAGGTGCCTCAGGTCGTCATCCAGCGAAATCCTCAAACTTCGATAAACTATTTTAACATCAAACCAATCAGTGGTGACGGAAATTGTCTGTTCCGTGCCATCAGCTTAAATTTATTTGGGAACCAACGATATCACCGTCAAATGAGGCAGGACGCATTAAAATACATAGAGAGAAACTGGGACGAACTTGAACCACACCTATTGGCTGAAGACAATAACTTGAGGATAAAAAAGAACTACCTTGAGTACATGGGACAAGACGGGACCTATGGAACTAGTCTGGAGGTTTTGGCGATATCTGAAGCACATGAGGCGGAATTCTACATTCACTTGGAAAATGAGAAACCCAAGGGGTCCATATACTCTCCAAATAAAAATGCAATAAAAATAAGCAAACGTCAATACGGGAAAGTAATTTATCTTCTACTCTCTGGAAGACCTGATCAGGGACATTTTGACCTACTAATACCAGGTGTAGAAAATACAAGAAAAAATATAAATCTTGCTAACAGCAAGAAAAAGCCCCGAGGAAAAGAAATGGAAAAAAATGACCCAACAAACCAACACGACCAACAGACTGCAATAACACTCCAAAAATCTAATCGCTGGAACCATCGAGATAAAGAAACCCAAAACAATGAAATATCAAACAACACTAAATCTGACACTAGAATAAAATGGACTGCAGAAGAATACAAAGAAATCCTGTGGTGCCACTTCTACATTTTTGAGACAACTGGAACTGCAAACTTGAAGAAGACATACGATCTGTGGAAAAAAAGAAATTCATTATCAATACATGACATGACCCCCAACGCACTTGCATCACAGAGAAGATATATCATAAATAACAATAAAGTAACCATAGAAGAAGTAGTCAAAATTCAACGGCTCATAAAAGAACAAATACAAAACGACCAACAGAGCCCGTGTGCAAGTACCATCAATGACAATGAAAACGCTAGTCAAAATCAATGCAATTTGAGTCCAAAAGAATCCGACGTCTATGAAAACCTGACACAAAACTGCAACAAAAATATAGATGCTCCCGACAGTGAGACTGATATCAACCTGAAAAGACTAATCTTAGACCAAGTTCAGGCCATGGCAAACGAAGATATATATATCGACAGAGTCCCTCTAGAAAAATGAATGAAAACAAAAAAGCCAAATCATTAATAACACAGGTCAATTCAATCCTTGAGAACATTTTCAATCAATTCCCCGGAGAATTCACTGAAATCACAATGCTCAATAGAATAATATACGCATCAGCGACGGTAATCCAAAACATCCTCATACCCGAAAAGAGAAAAGAAAGAACTAAAACATACAACGCACGTAGCGAACCACCATGGAAAAAACGGATTCAAGCAAAGATCACAAGCTTGAGAAAAGAATGATCACACCTGAAAGAAGCTGAAAAACTAGACCCTAGTATTCGAATTCTGATAGCGAAATCTAAGTTATACAAGAAATACAAGATAAAACATGAAAGAGATAAGGTGAAGATCTCGGAAAAAATCAAACAACAAATCCTTGCAAAAACAAGCAGGGTGAAAAGATATGAAAAAAGAGTCCAGCAATACCAACAAAATAAACAGTACATACAAAACACAACAAGATTTTATAAGTCTATTTTAAACAAAAGCACGAAACAAACAAGTATGCCCCCGACAAATATTGATATAGAAACCTACTGGAATAGTATATGGGGAAAAGGAAAGACACACAACAAGAATGCCTGCTGGATTGAAGAAGCATATCGACAGAACACTGAAATAGAAAAAATGCAATGGAATGACTTAGAGGCAGAAGAACTTGAATCGACGCTGGGGAAAGCTTCTAATTGGAAAGCGCCTGGTAATGACGGTTTGACCAATTTTTGGCTGAAAAGAATGAAAGTCGCTCACAAGAAACTGCTACAGTGCTACAACAAGATGGTCGCTGGGTCAATGGATACACCTGAATGGTTTGTGAAAGGAACAACACACCTTCTGCCCAAAAACGAGAAAACGGACCTTGCAACTATAGGCCAATCACCTGCCTTAACACCATGTATAAATGTCTGACCAGCGTCATGACGGCAAGACTGTATGCACACCTAGAGGTTAATGGTATGTTCCCATCGGAACAAAAAGGCTGTGCTAAAAATACCTATGGATGCAAAGATCACCTCTTAGTCAGCAAGATGATAAGTGATGATTGCAGAAAAGGCCAAAAAAACCTCTCAATTGCGTGGATCGACTATAAAAAGGCGTTCGACAGCGTCCCCCACAGTTGGCTTCTAGAGTCCCTTAAGATATATAAGGCGTCAGAGACAATGATTTCCTATCTACAAAAACTAATGGCAAGTTGGAAGG